GGGGGGGGGGGGCTAGGGGGGAGGAAGGGGGCGACCTGCAGCTGCAACTGAAATAAATGTATTGATACAAATATTTTAATAATAATGAAAAAAAAATATGAAGAGATCGGCTCGACCTTGCAAGGTCTTTCTTTTCCCCCCTTCTCCTATATGAAAAAAAAAAATCTTTATCAAACCGCTATTCTATGGCTTCAATAAACAGAGCCCATTACCTCACGGCAGCTTTTGTTGGCCTTATACAAGCGAGAACAAAATGGTTATTCAGGAGAACGCTTTCGATTTTTATTGTGTGTAGTATGCACAAAGAGCAGTGTTATTGTATTAAAAAGAACCATCTGTAGCAGAAACAATGGCATCAAATTATCTGTGAATACCCACAGCAAAAATATAAAGCTTTTTTCTTATTCTTCTGCTGTACGGTGGGGAAGAGAGAAGTGACTTTTTTGTTGTTGTGGGCGCATTCTTATAACACACACACACACCAAATCAGCCATTTGGATGTTTTAAGCCATAAACGATTTTTTTTCTCTCCCCCCCTTGTTCCAGGGACCGCAGTTAAAAGCTAGGGCTAGGACTTGGAGGATGTGTAGGCAATCGGAAGGAGAGCCGGGGGAAGAAAAACCGAGATGGATTCATTCTCTGTCCTGGATGGAGGAGGAGAAGAGAGGCGAGGAGCAGGGGACGAGGCAGCTCCCTCCGACGGGCGCTGTCCGGCGCGAAGTGGTCGCCCCCGCGGGGCTGCGCGCGGCTCGGGCGGACTCGCGCGGATCCTGCCAATCACACCGCCCGTCCCCGACAACACCCCGGGCTGGCATGGACATGTAAGTAGCTGCAGCCCAACTTTGACATTCCCAGTCTTCCCCCTCCACCCCACCCGTGACCTTTAAAAAAAACATCTAGAAACCCCCCCCCACCCCTTCCCCTTCCCCCCTCATTTAGCAACGCCTTATCCGTCGGCCGCGTGCGGAAAGCGTTAAACTTTGCGGAGGGCATGTGCGTTTTCTGGGCTTTGCTCGAGTGCGGATTGTGCATTCCCGTCTTGCAGCGGGAAATCGCTGGGCAGAAACTCGTGCCTGGCAAAAAACCACCAAAAAAACAGGCTTTTGTTTGTTTGTTTGTTTTTCCTCCCCCAGCAAAAAAGTGGAGTAAATGTCTCGGGGACCTATTCGGCTCTGAGCAGAGAGCTGCGCTCCTGGCTTTGCGCCCGCTGGACGGCTCAAAAGATGCTCTTGCGGGGGTGGACCCGGGGCTAGAACTTGATCCCAGACCTGTAGACCCCGCGTGTACCTGGAAGGAACCAGCGGGGGCTGAAACTGATGCCTCGGG